CAATAACGCAATGCAAAACCAGCTCGAGTCCCCACCGAGTGACCTGGGACAATTACATACCACCCCCTGGGTGCCTTTAAGAGGCAATACTTCCTCTCTCACAAGCACAGAGTCTGAGTGTAACAGAAAATGTTTACTAACATGAGGTAAATGACATCAGCATTAAATTGGAAAAACACCACAAACAGGATTCATAACACAAACCATGAGCAAAAACCCACCCCAGCAAATTGGGCTGTGTCCTTTCCCTTTGGTTCTTGAATCCAGCAACCCAAAAATCACCCAGAGTCCCCAAAGTCCAACACCCCCAAAGTCTCTTGGGTCCAGCAACCACCCAAAGTCCCCAAAGTCCAACAGACCCCAAAGTCTCTGTCCCTGGTCAGTGCAGCCCAGAGAAAAAAGGGGGGGCATGCAGGGTGTTATGGGGCACCTTATGTGATCCGAGGCCGGCTGGCCATCTCTCCGTGGGGTTCCGCCACAGCCTTCACCACGAGCCAGTCCACTTTCTGCCCTCCTACAAACTGCTCCGCTCTACAAGCTGCTCCGCTCCGCTCACCAACCTGTGAGCCGCTCCAGCCATCCCTGCAAACAGTTCCGCTTGCCGTTCCTTGGGCCGCTCCAACTGGCCCCACAAGACTCCGCACCGCTCACTGCTCCTCCAGTCGCTTAGCAATATAGCTTCAGGCTCCCCCACTAGTTAACACAGCACTCCATGATCTCAGCTCTTAATAACTTTAGCTCTTTTGTGATTTCAGCTCTTAGCAATGTCAGCTCATAGTAGGGGAGCCCCAGTGCTAGTACACCATTGGCCCAAAGTGAATTCAGCTCAGCAGCCTGTAACTAGACTCCTAATGGAATCAAAATTTGCTCTGACATTCAACAGTGGAGAGAGACAGTAGTACAATTGGTGTTTCAACCCCTCAGAGAGGGGGCCCATACCATCAAGTACAAATACCTGTCCCCATCCTCTCTCAATTCACTGGGTTTTGTAACCCATTCCCCTTGTCAAGCAAGTGCTACTTAGGTAATGGTGAAGGACTCACGCAGGCCTTCTGCCATACAACAGTTCCACTGGCCTTGATTCACAGAATCAGGGTAACAAAACTTTATTCTTCCTGCCCCAATAACAGAGAAAACTGGGGATCCCACACCAGCCAAAGTAACCACTTTCAGTTGCTGTTGTTTCATGCCAGGCGAGTGGGTGTGCCTATGCAAACAAGATCAGCCCCTGGAGTTCTTTTCCACACTCGCCATAATTCACCACCAGATGTCAGGGTAGAGCTCATCCTGACTCTTCTTACAATCCTTTTACATCATTATACAGATTAACACATCAAATGAAATAACCTCCCATATTTCCACAAGCAGAATCCCAGAACATCCTTTGGTGTCCATATTGACTCAGGGTAGAGGCAGAGCGATGGGATTCATTCTATCCCCACCTGATTGCCTTTTAGCTGCTGTTAAGGCATGTTATATGTCCTTGTTCTTTGATCCCATGGGCATGACCTGACTCTCTTCTCCTCTTTGAGCCAGCTGTGTTTGATCTGGTCAACAAGCTTCTGTTGATCCATTTCTATCAGCTCTCTCTGATACCTGGATACCAGCTCCAACAATCTCTCCTCCAAGTACAGCCTTTTCCACTCCAGGCTAAAAAAAACCTTAAAAAAACTTCACAGATTAACATGTAGATCTCATCTGTGCTACCATTCTGTCATAGAGCCTAGCAAGCACCCCCTCTTGGATACCTATTAGGACTGTTCTGAGGGGAATCCAGAGCAGCAGAGGCTTAAATGTTCTAATCACCTGTAACAAATGTTAATGGGGAAAGACACAAAAGGGAAGCAAAAAAGCTGAATTAATCCAAACAAAAAAACCTAGTGATGTAACTCAAGGACTGTGCTGAAATAATGTCTGGTAAACAAAAGTAGCATGGGGCAAGAAATCAGTGGTCCTAAATCGGTGTGTTGCAAATTAGGTCTAATTAGTGACCAAAATGAGAGCATGGGCCATTCTAGATATCACTGCCTTTTGGGATCCTTAAAAACAAAGAAACTTTGGGGAGAAATCATGATTTCAGAGATGTATCTGCTGGCTGGAAGACAGGAGGACTGGGAGGAACAAGCTTCATCGTCATGGCTGCCACCCACACAGTCTCCTGGGGTCCCAGGATCCACCATAACACTGTTGGACATTCACCATTCTCCTTATGAGAGCCTGACCAGACTGGATGACAGACAAAGAAAGACACCAATATCACCACCTCCACCGAATCTGGCTAATTCTGACCACCACCTGGACTGTAAGTCTGTCGTGCCCCTTCCCCCAATATTCATCCTCTTCCTTCCCCACCTCATTTCTTCTCTTTCCAAACTCCTTTTGCCTTTTGTTCAATAACAGTTTGGCTTAGCTGGCCATGACTGTCTTTTGTAACACAGCTGTAAGCCTGTGACCAGAAAGGTAATGAAAAACAATGCCCTAAACCTCCTGCTAGGTATAGGAGTGTCTTATAAGAATATGTGCTGTGCCTGTGTTTCTCCAGCAATGAGGTTACAAGTAAGAGTCAGCACCAGAGACAGAAGCTGCATTTCTACTATTGTTTTCTCTCCTCCTTTGTGTGTGCTTCTCATTTTTTGTCCTAAAGGAAGCAGGATTAGACTTTAAACAACAGCAGCTCCATCCCATCTCAACTGTTTCTCTTTCCCACAACAAAAAAGGACATATATCAGTATCTTTAATACCATCTAACAAACTGTCAGATGGGGGCGAGGATCTTCTAAAAACTCTCTATAACTAAAGGGAAAAGAAATAAGGGATATTTTTAACACAAAAACCTTAATTAATACTTTAAATTTCAAATGCTTCAACTCTTTTTTGTTTCTTTTTCTATATCTTTAATAAAAGGTGGACAAAATTTTTAATGGTGTGTTTGCTATGGCACTAAGCAGCCCAAGATCTCTGTATTGTATTCTGTATGCCCTCTTGAACACTGTACAGTGATGGAGTCACAGTAACACTTTTGACTCTCTGGGCATATTTATTCCATCAAAATTAACAGAGCAACACTATGAAAACATATAGGCCTGGTCTATACTAAAAAAATAGGTCAACGTAGATGTGCTGCTCAGGGCTGTAAAAAATCCACACCACTGAGCGGCATGTAAGCCAACCTAACCCCCAGTGTAGACAGCAGTAGGTCGATGGAAGAATTCTTTTATTAACCTAGTTGTCACCTCTTGGGGAGGTGGATTACCTATGCAGATGGAAGAATCCCTCAGGTCAGTGTAGCTAGTGACTACATTGAAGCCCTGCAGCAACACAGGTACAGCACTGCAGTTGTGCCACTGTAGTGTTTGAAGTGTAGACAAGCCCATAGTAAGAGAAAGTCCCTGCTCTGAAGAGCTTACATTCTACATAGACAAGAAAGACAAATCAGTGGGACAAGATGTAAAGTGACTTTCCCAGTGTCACACAACTGGTCAGAGATAAAGTTGGGAATTAAACCCAGGCCTCAGTTCCACTTTAGTGAATTGCATTGCCTCCTTTGCTACACCTGCTTCATGTTTGACAGTATTTTGCAGGGGGGAGGGATAGCTCAGTGGTTTGCACATTGGCCTACTAAACCCAGGGTTGTGAGATCAATCCTTGAGGGTGCCATTTAGGGAACTGGGTTAAAAATCTGTCTGGGGATTGGTCCTGCTTTGAAGGTGGGGTTGGACTAGATGACCTCTTGAGGTCCCATCCAACCCTGATATTCTATTTATACTGGGATGGAAAAAGCATATCTCAAGATGGAGGAAGAATCAGCTTAACTACATAAGCACTAGAAAGGTGTTATTGGGGCTCCATGTTCCATAATGCCCATCTACCAACAATGCATGTGCAAGGGAGAGCTAAGAATGTCAATCATATCTTTCTAGCTTGTCTGGCTACTGTGATCTCTCTTCTGATTCGCTCCTGAATGGTGAAATTAAGATGATGACTAGCAACAATTTTGACCTCCTCCACTTCTCACTCCCTTCAGTTGATGTTAAAGGGCAACAAAGCTTACACAAAAGAAGGAATAAATACCAATAAACTAAAGAGAATGAGACTTTCAAACTGCTAGAAGTGGTTTTTTTTTAAATCTCTGTTCGATTTCCTTCCTTCAGGCACAATCCTTCTCCTAGTGAAGTCAATGGGAGTTCAGACATTTCCTTCAGTGGGAAAAGAACTGGGCCCTTCCCATCATCATACTCTCCCAATCTACTTCCTTCTACAGGTCAGCAAGACTATTGGCCCTCCAGTAACTATTCATTTGCCTCTACGTTCCTTGTATACTTGGCAGAATATTACCACCGCTTTCTAGCAATTTGATTTTAAAGCAAAAATATTTTGCAGCTATTCAGAGAAGATGAGCCCTGCTCACTTTTAACAAGGAAAGGAGGAAATGAGAACAAAGAATAGGAATGGCCAACTATTTTTTAAAACATTTTTTAAAATATTTGCACCTTTCAGCAGTTTGACAGCCCATTTTCTTCATGTTGTCCCCTCTTTCAGTTAGAATTTGGCTAATGAATTTAAAAAAATAGTATTTTACCTCAGGGTGATTAGCCATGAAATGTGTAAGCAAAGAAGGCCATGAAAGAACTGGCAGAAGACAGTGACAGAGAATATTGAATGCTCTGGCATCACCTGGTAAGAAGTACCACAACTAGCAAGTGGCCTTCAATCAATGGAGGAACTCAACTGCCAGATGTGTCAGCTGTTCAGAAGGAACTAAGATCTAAGGAGAGGTTATTAACCAGGGGTTTATTAACCATACCTAAGGTTAAATTCATCAGCTTTCAGCCCAGGATATGCTTGTCTCACTACACAGAAAAGTCCCGCAAATTAAAAGCCAGTTGAAGATCCAGGAATTTGTTATCAAAACTGACAACCTTCATCCATCCAGTCTTTAGAGCATGGCAATTTAATTTTATTCACTATTGTACTCTCTAAGATACATGTCTCATGCTTACCTGTATATATGGATAATCTGTTATCAAGTCTCCCTTCTCATTGTAAGTAAAAACTGGGAAATCTGGGGCTATGAACATTCTGAAAATAAAAGATTTTTAAAAATTAGAAATTCAAAAGCAGCGGATCCTGCTGAAGCAATATAGATAATGCAAGATGGCGCTTGATATAAATATATGGTAGGCAGTCGTTAGGTAAAATTGGTTATAATTAACTCTGCTGTTGTTAGGCAAATTAATGTTGTTTTTATAAGAATGGAAGGGGTTATTTTTCTGTCAGCTAAAACCGTAAAATAGTTCAAGCTAGTTAAAATTGCATTGAGAGGAAACCTGCAACTGTTGCATGAGGATGTGTCTGAGACAAGGAAAACACCAGCTGACACAAACATGTGCAACTGGCACTTTGGCATAGAATACAAAAAGGGGGATTTGAGCATCAAGCTTCAGCTCAGCAGGCCTATTGGACAGCAAAGACCACCTGGATGATGTGGTGAGTCCTCCTTGTAGCTCTACTATATGTAACAGGCCACTGCTTATAGTCTTAGGGAAGCATTATCATAGTGACGTTCAGTACAGCAAACAGGATGTACTTCCTTTGGTAAGAAGCTGATCAGCCTTTGGGAAATAAAGGTACTTTGGTGAATTGTCTATTCATAGCTTATTCTTAAAAACCAGATCCAAAAATTACAACAGTTGCTGCTTGCAGTCTTGATACATGTGAACTGTTGATTACATATGGACTAAGGCCCAGCTCCTCAAAGGTATTTACGTTTCTAGCTCTCACTGAAGTCAGTGGGATTTCAGTGGCTAAATACCTTTATTTAGCCACCTAAATGGTCTTCTGTGAATCTACAGTCAAGACCCGATGCATTCTGCAGAAGTGAATTTGCTGCAGAATTTGCTTCTTGCCACAAAGCTGTGCTCCAGAATCTATGCATTAATTACAAAAATAGTCCTAGTTCTCCTGGTTGTGAAGAAACACTCAATTCAAGTTTTCAAGTTTATCTGATGCAGAGATACCATTATGTCTATTTTAGACATGGGGAAACTAATGCCCAAGATGATGAAGTGACGTATCCAAGCTTGCCCAATAGACCAGTGGTAGAGAGGAATAGAATCCAAATTCAGTGCCTTATCTACTAGGCATCACTCACACATTACCAAATTAAACCCATGAATACCTCATTTGACAGTTCTGTATTATTGTAGACATTTAAAAAATGGCAACATAGAGAGGTGTGTCAGGGTACTAATTTGTCCACAAATGCTGGATCTGAGAGAAACGTGGCACTTCAAGGAGCATGTTTATTTGAAGCCTTTCTAGTGCTGACAACATCTCCAGCACTAAAGGACCATCACATCTTCACTTGGCAACTCCTGCCTTACAGCAGGCAAATTTGAAGCCCTTGGCACTGACAGATACAAAAGACAAAGCCAGCCTCTTCGGTTCCAATGTGGCGCCAAAGCTGGACACACGATGATCCACCAATTTGGAGCTAGACAAATATACCAAAGGCTTCTGTTTCTCCCCTGCAAAGGTGTTGTGATAATTGGGGTAAACAAATTTACCCCAATTATGAGGTCAACTGAAAAAAATGAGGAAAAGATTATAAAGTATCACAATAACCAATAGCAATAAATGTTGATCAAAAAAGGAACACAGAAAGACTGAATTAGTCTAAATCAGTGGTTCTCAAACGTATTTGATCGTGCTCCCTCTTCTTTGTGTTTCTAGTAGTATACGCCACCTCCCCCCCACCACACAAGTATATATACT